TCTGGGTAGTTGAAGTCACCCATGAGAACCAGGTTCTGTTGACCAGAAGCTTGCCTTAGTGTCCCAAATATTGCTTCATCGGCTTTATCGTCATGGTTTGGGGGTTGGTAGCAGATGCCCACTGTAAGGTCCTGCTTGGAGACGACCCCCCTGATTTTAACCCAGAGGCATTCAATAGAGCACTCACAATCACCATAGTTGAATTCAATACATTCAAGGTTTTCCTTAATATAGAGTGCGACTCTTCCACCTCTTTTTCCCTGCCTGTCTTTGTGAAACAGCCTGTAACCATCCATCACGATTCCCCAGTCATGTGAGTTGAATTCATAATGAATTTGAAAAGCACATATCTACTTGATGGTAGAGTAATACATCTGTTGCTTTCTGAATTCAGAGTACTGAAAGGAGTGTAACAGCTTCAGAAAGTGTTCCTTGGCCCTAGAATTTCCAAAAACATATATGTGTATATAGATGTAGCAGGTAGCTATTATATGTATACATATGAGAAAGAGTATGAATTAATTTTGTCCAAGCTGATAATAATAAATTTGTTCTTATTCAGATTTTTTGATTGAGATAGCATGCGCATTACTTTGAGAGAATGAATGACATACTTTGATTCTGTTTCCTCTTGAAGGCCAGTCTTCATTAAAATGGAACAATTATTAATTTAAAGATTCGTTTAATTTGCAGAAGAGTAGAATACCTGCTGATTATATTTGAAGTGTGGGAGTTACTTGTAAATCTTTTAAATACGTATTTATTCACAAATCACAGATTCGCTCTGCAGTAAAAGAGTGATCTCTCTTCATTCCATTTCCCTTCTAAAGCTGAGTTTCATGTCTTGGCCAGAAGACAGGTTTTACTGGAATGGAGCAGGAAACACCATGAAATGATTACTTGCTGGAATGGAAACATCATACCAAAACATTCTTAGGTTTGGAGATTTAAAAAAAAAAAATAGTCTTCACTTAATAAGCAAGCAGAAGACTTAGTTTACCATATAGATTAGGAAAGCGGGTACATGTTCTACTAAGAATTTAACAATACTAAGGACAAAATATTCTTTTTTTCCTGAGGGATAATTCAGCGAAGGAAAATAGGTAGTCTGTAGGCTTCACTTTTGCCTATAAATACTTATATATCTACACTAAATATTTAACAAACCTGAGGTAAAAATAAGGTAAAATAACAGCAGCGAGCTTTTCCCCACAACAGAAGCATTCCTCTTTTATGTGTGCCATCATGGTACTGTCCTTTGTGTTACTAGGTAGGTTGTTTTCTGCATTTATCGGTGTGTCTAGTTTGGTCTGTGGTGAAATTTCCCTTCTGTGTTGGACTAAATAGCAAGGCAGGAAGTTCATCAGTAGTCCCATTCCCCACTTTAGCCTAGCAAGAGGACCACCAAGAAACAAAATTTATGGAAAGATTCTGCCTATACACCAAATGTTTTCAACTCTATGCATTTTAAACTGGGCTGAGTTATATCTTCAACACATGTTTTCTATTACAAGCCTTACAAACTAACATCAGAGATTTTTCAGCTGAAACAGGAACTGAACTAAACTAATGCTTTAAAGCTCAGGAAACCAAATTATCAAGAATATAAATATCATTGAAAATTGCCTGCACGTGGTTTAGCCTGACACTTTATTGGTGTTTGTGCTATGCCAGATTATAGGAGCATAGATAGTGTTTTATGTATATTAAGTGGTGTATCAAGTTTTCAGGTGAACTTTCTCCCTGTCACAATTAATGTTGTTAGAAATGATTCTCATAACGATTGGGTCCGTATTAGAACATAAATAAATAACTACATCACGTGCTATTTTTGTCTTTCAAAAGGAGAGTCACTTTAATGAATGTCCCTTGAAAAAGATAAATATTCTCAGGTGTTAAAAGAGATACTAATATAATACATAAAATTACTGCTAAGCCAACGTTGCAACTATAGCCTAATCCTATAGCTGAAACAGGAGCCAACTTGGCCCTGAAAATAATGAATTTCACAGCTTTATACTCTTTTAGTTTATACTTACAAATAAATAAATGTAGATTGATATGGCATTGATATGGAAAACTATGTTTATTTGTTGGGAGTGGGGTTTACTGTTCATTAAAAGATAAGATTTCAAAACAAAGTTGATTTTTCTTTTCTTTCAATTTCATTTCTTGATATGGAATCATTGGAAGTGTTTATTAGAAATGTTGATTTTGGTCCCACATTTAAATAAATGGCTTTAGTGGCAGAAAATGCAAGAATATTCAGTATTCAAGAAAATGTTCTGCTAAATAGAATGATATAAAATCTAAAATATATGTGCATAAGGTAGTAGGAGACTAGGAAGACTGTTAGAAATCCTATTTAGGTTAGTAATTGTTGCATACCTCAAAGATGGTTCTTCTCTTTTGATAAACATCTTTGTCTTTATCTTTGTTTTCAGGCAGACAATGTCTGTATCATTAATACATAAATTTTGTCAGAATACTTGCTTTTCCTTATAGCTGTATTGTGTGACATGGGTAGCTGTTTTGTTTTGGTTTTCTGTATAACAGGGATTCAAATTACATTCTTTATTTATGCTAGGAAGCTATACATACTAATATTTGTAAAACTTGGGGAAAAAAAAAGGATACAAAATTATTATTTTATTTTATCATCTGAACCCAATAGTTATTTACTTACATGTTCAAGTCTTTAAATCGGTTAATAACAGGAGGCATTTCTGGCAGTCCATTTAACTTACCTTAACTGTGTCATAGTTATCTTTTATTCTTCATCCTATTTGTATTCCACTGTTGCCTTTCAGCATTTTAAGAGTATAGAAATTTGGGTCACATAGAGAAACTTACCTGATGCCTCATGCCAGATTGTACTTGCAATGCTTGCAGACCTGGCGATAGAGTATATGCTCTTCTGACAAGTGTCAAAAGAGACATATGTGAAGAATGGAGGAATCCACTCTTCTAACAGTCACCCTGCTGTGATAACAAGAGTGAGCAGGTTTATGCAAGAGGTTTCCAGGCTGATCCTGACAGGTGCATCATTTCTTGGTAGGAAATGACTGTCGCTCCAAGAAACTGACTATATGAAGTCATTGTTCTCTAAAGTAACAAAATCTGTGCATCCACATTATAGGAGTATAGAGCATGTGTACCGTGTTAGCTTCACATTAACATACTATATTAACACACAAGGTTTTCTCCTTGCTGCTTAAAAATGACTGATGTCTGGAATAAAGAATTAGAACCAAATTTGCCGAAGTCACAGCTTTGTCCAGGCACTCTAAATTCCTTGCTGGTGATAACGCCTTTAAGTGTTGTCATAACAACAATAAATATTTTTTCCAGGTTTTTCTGCTTCATTGTAAAGCACATTTTAAGCTTAAGGCAATTATTATTTTTTGCTTTTCTTTTGGCCCTTTATTAGCAGACAAGTTTCATTTAGTTCTCTAGTCTTTCTTGAAGTGGCTAGCAAATATCTTCCCACACAGTACTTTTCGCAGGATGTCAACATTTTTTCTTATTCTGTCAGTAGGCAAGGGATTCCTGCAAGGAAGTGAGTACTGATACCTGGTGTTACAGGAAAGAAATGTGGAAATGAGCTAGAGAGAAAGTCTAGGATCTTAGAGAGAAGCACGGAAGAGGAACGCTATACGTAGCTTTATTTATGTAAGAAATCCTAGTATGAATTTGATATTCCAACTTCCGTCAAAGTTTCTCACGTAAGTGAGGCAGCGTTAAGGTAAGATGGGACACTAGCTGCACGTTTGTGCATTTATGCTGAAGCAGAGTGAGGAGTCTGTTCATGTGTAGTATGTTCCAAGGCAATGTAAACTGTGTCATTTTAGCCAGTTCAAAACCTGAAAACAAAACTCTTGCAATTTTTGGTAAATGAAGAAAACAAGTTAAAGCATACTAAATATCATATTTAAATATTTTTTAAACTTAAAGAATTTGTAATAATTTTTTAAAAATACAGAAGTCAAAGTGATTGTGGTTCCATTCTTGCAGTCTGCTAGTTGGAGTATTCCCACGGGATCCAGAGTTCAAATCTCCTCCTTCCTGATTAGCAGCAAAGATTTAATCCAATATTACGATCTTTTAGGCAGATTGGAACTATAAGGTGTTACAGGTCCAGTTCTTTTGATCTGTTTTGCTGAAGCTTGCTCTATTCATGTAATATACTTGCATATGATCTGAACCAGAAAGTGGACCAGTGTGAACGACTCTCCACTTTAGCTATAAGGTCCTGCCCCAGATGTCACTAGGCCTGCTTTTAGTTTATGCTTTAGTGAAACTTTCAGTAGCAGTTGGTACCCTTAAGTGGCAAAAATTAACCCAGCACTAATCTCCTCCTCTTCTATCACTGCCTTAACTGCTAAGCTGGTTTCTCCAATTGATTTGATTTAACAGTGACACTGAATCATAACAAAACAGATCTGTTCCCAATACCCAACAGTTTTATCAGTTATTCTTACAATTTCTAATTTGTTTTTATTTCATTTAATATTTATCTTGCACATCTAAGTCTTTCTTTTTGATTGAGTTTTGGCAGTTTTGCTGCTGCTCAGCTCTGTGCCAAAATGTTGCGTTAGATCCATTATACTCAATCAAGCCACCTGCTGTTGGAAATAGCTGTGATATTTTTTCCTTTTTTGCCTCCAGAAATTTTTTTAAAGACACATATTTTCAATAGATGTCTGGTTTTAGTGACAAACAAATATTTATCCATATATTTTCTCTAATAAATATTTGTTAGTAAGAGCCAAGCACAAAAATAAACTACTATAAAAGCATATTGCAGTTGCTGTTACATTTAAAGTCTTTTAGGAAGATTTGATTATATTTTGTCTAAGATATCCTTTCCTGTAGACTTGGATTTTACACAACTTGACTGTTACTCATTTGGAATTATGCTTATTGTAACATTTTTAGGCTGTAAAGTTCACAAGCATTCACAGTTTAAACAACATTGCCAAGACATACCAAAACAGTAGTTAGCTCTGAATTCCTCCCATTTTGTCAGTCTCGGTGTTTTTGGCCCCAACACAAGCCACTAACTCAAGTCAGCTCCAGCACGATACTGGAATTATATGTTTAAAAGAAAATCCGTACTTGGATGCAATGAGTGTAATTTAAGTTCACAGAAGAAATGCAAATATTTTGTATAGTTGTTGGGCTTAGATGTTTGGGATGGACAAACAGGCTGTGTTTAGACAGCACAGTAAATACTCAAAGGGCTTTGTATCCAGGCTGTACTCGTGAGTAGTTTTTTATGTGTAAAACAGGAACAGAATAATGAAGAATAAAATGAGAGATGTGTTGGTCAGAGGGAACAAGTGCAGGACAAATTGCTGTGTAAGGTCCAACTTTAAATCATGAATACACAAGGCAACATTAGAAAGGTACTGTTTTGAGAGAACTACCTTTAGGTTCCTGCTACTTTTGTGGCATGTGTCCTTGGCTAGAACATGCTCTCCAAGTATCTAAATGAGGTGTGAAAATTCTCAATAACTTTCAGCTAAACGTTTTAAACTTGGTGTTTGGAAGTACGTGCTTCATTGAATATGGCTAGTATTTCTGATATCAGAAAAATGTTTTATATGGTTTGTCTTTCTCAATTATTTATCCCATGTCTCCCACACCACTCAATGTAAAGCCAAGAAAAAGCATGGCTTAAAATTTACTAAGGCTAGATCTAAATTATCAAGTGGTGCAGACTAGAGAATCTCTAGGACAAAGCAGTTGTTGCTAACGGTCTGATATTCACAGCACGTAGATCTTTAGGATGATTTTGAGAATTCAGAATACTAGTTAATCCTACTGACTGAATGTCTGTTGCAGTGGAGTGCATTAGGGGTAGGTAGTCCTGGAGCACAGCTTCAGTTCAGTTTAGTTTAGTCCAGTCCAACAGGAATCCAATTAATGTGTTCCAAGGCTACTGTACAAATAAAGCATCATAACTGGGGACAACTGAAAAGTTTTACTTCATAAGCATGCTCCACATCAAAGCTGAAATAATCATATAGATTCATCTTATGTGGCCTGACTGAATTAAAGTAGTTGAATTTTTTTAACAAGTTTATTGCATTAAAAAGTTTTAACCAACAAAACATAATTACATTAGATCTAAACCTTCCATTATTGCTTATGAATTGTTTTTATTTCTTCACATCAAATAATTTGCATGGTATGGTCAACACAGTAAAAATTAAAAAAAAAAAAAAACAAAACCAAAAAAACCAAACAAAACCAACACACCCCCTCAACTATATTTTTAAGTATTTTATATAAATGAGTTTTGCTATAAAAGCTTCAAAGTACATAGACACAATCTTGATTTTTACCTGTGGGGGGTAAATATAAAGAAACTATGTGACTTGAACAGTTGATTCAGCAATGTGAAGAAGTCTTTAATCCTTAGACTATTCTGCCTGTCACTGCCATGTGAACAAGAATTGTGCCACAGGGTGGTGAGGAAGGGGGAGAAAAATGAAACAATTCTATAAGCCTGCAGGTCTGTGGTTACAACCTGTCTGTCCTAGTACTGCTAAATAATGCTAAAGAAGGAGGGAAGATTTAAAAGAAAGGGTCTCAGACTATTCTCATAATGGAAAATGTTGAATATAATTGATAGAGAGTTATGGTTTATGCTTAACTGGTAAAATAGAACAAATTTTTTTGCCCTTTTTTTCTGGTTTTTGAGTTAATTTTCAACCCTTTTTGAAGGTAAAATATCTTTGTTTGTTTTATTTTGTTTTGTTTTGTTTTTCAAATGCTTAGCCTACGATTTACAGTGGTCAGTGATCCCCCAGAAGACGAACAGGATCTTGAATGTGAAGATATCGGTTTCGCTTATGTCAGTTTGAGAGAGATATTCCAGAAGCAAAGAGATGTCATTGAGCAAGATATTGATGGTAAGTTTTAGGGATTACTTTCTTGTAACCTTTTGTAACCTAAAAATTATTTGTTTAATTTCTGCTTTTCTTTGCAAGCTTTACTGTGCAAGTAATTGTTTGACATTGTTTCAATAAGAAATTCTTTAATATTAACTAATGGCTTCCACACTTGTTTGCAAAAGTCTGCAAAAACTGTGTACTATTGTTATTCCTCAAAATCTGTTTTAAAAAAAAACAAAAACAAAAAAACCCCAAACAAACCAACCAAAACCAAACAGCATTCCCAACTCATAGTAATCAGTTTATAAAACCTAAGAACTTTCAGTACATGTCCACTTGTTATAATTCTCTATTTTGTACAACATCATGCTACTAAGACTATAAATATAGATATTGTTATTAAAATTTATGTCAGTAATTCTGTATTGCTAATGTCTGTATCTTATTTGAAGTTATGTTACAACCCCCAGAGTACCTCAAGCTTGTGTCCTCCATATGAAGCCTGTGTCTGAGACAATATGAAATACTGGTGGCTTTGATTAGGTATCAGTTTAGAGTAAGCATCCTTCTGTAACAGACTGTGACTGAACTTTCACTGTGACTCATTAAAACAAGGTGAGGTGAGTAGGAGGTGTGGAATCTTCCGTTTCCTGGGTCTTACAACAGCATTTTTATAACGTTGATAAGAAGACTCGAGAAGGCTACTCGGTCCTTTCATAGGCAGTGAAGGAAAATATTCTTCTTGCTTAGACTTTCCTGTTCCCCAGGGTAGCAGGGACATAGTTATCAATGGTGCATTTTTCTCCTTACCTGTTCCTCTCCATCGTCTTTCCCCATTGTGGTAAAGCTCAGTGAAGAAGCTGAGAGTATCTCTGTTATAAAACAGTTACTCTTCTGTAACGGTAAGTGAACCAGCTTGATTACTAGACACAGTGCACCCATGTTCGCAAGGTACTCTTTGCAATAGCAAGAATTCTCGTTAGCCCAAGTAGAATGCGAAGCTAATGTGACTTTGCTACATCTACTGCTGTGCCTAATTACCATACCTTGAGTGATGGGGAGCTGAGTAACGAGGGAAAGAAACAGGCTTTCTTATCCATTTCCATTATCATGCATGATTTGCATCCATGCTGTAGCTAAAACACTCGAAGTATGCATCAAAGTTCCAGGAACATGATAAGGAAAATTCTAAGAAGAATCAAATTTCCATACCCTGGAAAAATAATATACAGATTTGATGCACTTCTGACTGTGGCTGAACCACTTAATCTTTTCCAATAATTTTTCTGCAAGTAGTTGTCCGAAAGCACGTCTCCTCCCAAACGGTATTTCATAGTCTCTCACTGGAAAATTGTTTTTGTTCTGGATTTTTTTTTTGCCATAATTCCCATTTTGTCATAATTCCCATTTGATAAGATTGATTAGTGATATAAATATAATTTTGTATCCTTAAAAGTCACCTTTCACAAAACTCTTAAAACTCCTGATCATCATTTGAGATGATAATTATGATAGGAAGGACTGTTCTTTGTTACTAGTTGTTGTTCTGTCAAAAGGTAATCATTACTGTGTAATGACAACTACTTCAATATTGTGAGGAGCATTTCTTCCCCTAATCATAAGACATTTGAACTAATTTTTACTTTATGTACATTATATCTGTGAAAGTGATAGTAATAAATGGAAATCACAGAATCATAGAATCGTTAAGGTTGGAAAAGTCCCTTAAGATCATCGAGTCCAACCGTAAATAAAATACTTTTATTCTTATTCCTGTCCACACTGTTCCCCTTCCCTGCAGATGCTATACAGTTTAGATTGTTTTTAATTGCATCCATAACCATATTTTCTGAAAATTTAGAACGTTCAGAGACTTGAAATGAATTTTACGTTAATATATGTAAGATCATGGCAAAAGTAGAATATATCAGTATATTTTCTTGGACGAAGTCATTGTGAAAAGGTCTGTTCTTAAGATCTGGACACAGAGTTCAGTTAAATGTAATGGCACAATAAGTAGAATTCCTAAATAATATTGTACACATTCTCTGAGGTGGATATTGGTTTGAGGGAAAAAGAATAAACCTGGACACAGGGAAATTTATAAGATGCTACCACATGAAGATCTAATCATTGTTATGTTAGATACCAGAAACTTCCTTCATTCTTTTTGAGGCCTGCAAGCATATATCTTTTTCATATCTTGTTCCTTTCACTGCTGATTGTGTGAAAGTGGCCTACATGAAATCTGAAGCAATTAAGTGAATGGCTAAGCAAGAGACTGTATGAAAAAGAGTATAGACAAGGCATGTAACAATATGTCTCAGACATACTATGACAATATTAAAACTGAGAAAATAGAATTAATGTTATCTTCTGATATCATTAATTACAGTTATCCTACTGTTCTAGTAAGTAAAAAGAATAATGTCCCCTGAAGTCTGCTCTTTAAGTTGACAGTTGACACTGAGTGATTTGTCCGAGGATATACAAAATGTTTTGGATCTCTGAGAAATAGCATCCAATCTGTCCTGTAATAGCTCTATCAACAAAGTAAATGATGGAAGGTTTATCCCATGTTTTTCCTTCTCCAAACCTCTTCTGAGCTGTCCCAGCAGCCTAGAAGTTGTAGCATGCAGTATCATTGCATGTCCCAGAGTACTTATCCCAGTCTATATAGTAAATACATAACCTTGCCATTTGTCTGCTGCATAATTTGCTTTGAAAAGATGTGCTGTCAAGATTATTTGTTTTTATTCAAATTCCTTCTAAAGTCATGTTAGGCAGCCTCGCTGCTTTTTATGCAGGACTGGGAAAGAGCCTCATTTTTGACTGTTAGCAGCACGTTTTTAATCACAGCAGCAGAGGTTGTGGCCCTCTGGGCTTACTTAGATATTGTAAAAGAGTGCAATTTTAAAGCATGTTAGCTAATTTCTGTAAAATAGAAATTTTAAATACTACTTTAAAACCCACATACACAAAGATTAAGGTAGTCAAACAGTTAGTCTAGGGGAAATACCATCTTTGTCTACACTTCACTATTTCACAACACACAGAAGCTTGGAATTAAAATAATTTTGCATTGAACCTACTGGAAAAAGCAATTTACTATTTAAATACTAATAACTGTCCAGGCTGATTTGGACCAGTCATACACACAGTGTAGAAAATGCATTAATTGGTACATTTTTTACTTAAAACAATTTATATTAAAATAATTAATTTATATAGGCAATTCTCATACAGATAGTTTTCTTTATTTCAAAGTTAATTCCAACACTCATACTTTTATTGATGTACATTCTAGTTCTTAGAGTGCGCAGTTTCCAGTAGGCTGAGTGCCTGAACTGGAAGATTCCTTTTTTATTTATTTATTTTTTCTCTTTTTTAAGCATATGCTAGGTGCCTTTTAATCTATCCAAATGCTAAGGAAAATTATCAGAACAAAAGCAAAACCTTAAATGAAATTGCTAATGCTGTTTTCTGATGTTTCCTTTCTAGTTTTCGATTCACAAGATGATAGTGCAGTAATTGGAAAGCTCAAAGTAACAGTGGAAGCCCTCCATGCGCTGCGTTCAGTCTATGAGGAATGCAAAGATGACTAGGAGGCATGAAAGGGAAGTTTGCCTACAGAAGTTCCTTCTCCCAGTGTAAATACATGCTTGATAGTGCTTCAAAGATGAGATCTTTGTAATTCTTACAGTATATTTAATGTATAATTTATATGAAAAGGACGCTTGATTTGTAGTTGTAAAGTTTTGTATACTTTTCAGTCTGTTTGTTTTTATATTTCCCCCCTAAGGCTAAGAATATCTCCACAATGGACAACGTCTTGTAAATAATTAATACCTACATGATTGAATGATATGCTTTATTTGCATTTTCAAGATTTTTTTTCCTACATAAAACAGTAATAAAAATGCAAGTCAAATTTTTAATTTTTAATAAAAAAACCATAAGCCTTAGAAAACTGATTAAAAATACTTTTATGTTATCCCTAATCACCCCACTAAATGGAATGCCAGTGATTAGCCTCATTAAGAATTTTATACTGTGAAGATTTTATTAAAAGCAATATATGAAAATTACTTGGATTAATGTGTTAATCTGCCTCTTTAAAATGCTAATATCCATTTTATGCACATTAAATCTCAGTATGTGTTTTCTTTGATGCATGCAGTTCCTATCAATTAAATATAAAAAATGAGGCTAGTTGCAGGACTTATTAAATTACTGCAACCTTTTTTTTAAATAACTTTTACCCTTCTACTAACATTATAATCAGCTGTTTATGATTATCATGATTTGAAGTAGGGGGATGGCAGGCAGAATCATTTTTCTGTACAGTAAAAGATTTACTTTCAGCCAACATCTGTGAAAGCACAAAAAGACGCCATACAGTATCAGATTTTGCTTCACCTATTATGAGCTGTAGGGACAGGCAACCATGTTTTCATTTGTTTTTTGTCACTTTTAGAACTTATATCAAACATATACATTGAATTGTTGTATCTGAATAACCAGTGTCTAGCTTGGAAAGTTAATTTTCCAGCTTTTAACCAATCTCAGTGAAGGATTTAATTGATATTTTTAATGGAGCTGTGAATCAATGCTGCAAAAGGATTGTCTCTTGAGAACAAGGATATAATACGTTTCATTTTTTAATTTACTTTTTATTTGTCATTTTCTTCAAAGGATTTTATAGGCTGTGGATTTCCACTGTTTGCAAACAGGCTATGTTTCTTCATAAGCATATGTAAAGTATTCAGAGAGATAAGTAATTTATTAAAATCTACCTAATTTGCCGTGATATATTAAATCTCTGCTTCAGTGATCACAGACCATTTCATTTAGAGAATTAGGCATTCCCTCTTTGTGTGATTAAAGCTCTGGAAAATGAGTTCTTTGCTCCTATTTGTGAACATTCAAAGCCTGCTAATGGCAAGAAGATGGAATAGATTATGAGACAATTCATTACAGTTCAACAGAAAAAAAAAAAAAACAGCTATAATGCAGAAATGCAAGTATGAATATCTGCATATAGTTTGAACCATCTGTGCTCTAATGGCTTCAATAATGGCTCTTCGTCTTCAGTAGGCTTTGAAATGACATCCATACAATATTAATTTGTTGATGTACATTATGAGGCCAATGGAATGAATATATTCTGACCACGGAAATCTCTGAATTCCAACAGGAACTGATGGTTGACTCCATTTTAGGACCTACCACCTTCAGTAGTACTTCTTATCCAGACTTTGCCAATCCTCGCAACATTTCATTCCTCTGGAACTTTCAGGAGACCACAGACAGCTGCATTCCTAAGCCCCTCCATTCTTCAGTTAATGGCCATATGTTTGTTGTGATTTCGGCTGGCGCTTAGTTCATCATTTTGGCCACTATTTCTAGCTTTTTTTGGCTCTGTGCATCTATATTGTCAATAAGACTGTTATTATACATTACAATAATTTGAAACAGCTAGATTCAACACTGAGATTAACTGAGTGGCTTTTTAGAAATTTGGTTGTGGTATTCTGTCAGGAGGTTCTTATTATTCTTCTAATACTTTGCAAACCAAACTAAATATCCTGCACATAAACAAAGAAGCAAATTGTATTGAGTTTTTGTATGTGACTGTTTACTGACTTGCAGGAGAACTATGTAACTGGTGCTTGTTTTCTTCTGAAATAAACCATGTGGTAAAATTAGAAAATCAGTGATGTTCATCTCACTTAAACGTTTACAGCAACACCCTTAGCACTTAATCTTCGCCATCTGAAGTTGAAAACTTAGAAACCGAGCGTTCATATATTCATTAAACACAGACCTCTTCGGTAAGTTACTGCAAAATCTTCCAGTTAACATTTGGTTACATTGTGTTAACTGTTCTCAGTGACTCCAACATGAACGTGTATAATTTGCCTCAGGTTCCTAAACATATTTCTTTGTAAGGCTCACTGTTACTCAGTTTTGGATTTAAAAAAGATAAGCTTGATTTCTATTCATGTTTATTACTAAGACGGATATATATTCAGTGAGGATTTTTCCAACAGATGGATTGTATTATCTTACGCAACGTAAACATGCGAACATACTAGAAAGTTTTGTTCTTGCATTAAGTAGTCTGTATTTCCAACATGCTCTTAAATCCTAAGTCTAAATGCTGCACTGTGCAGGAAAAGTGGAAAATGTAATCTAGTACTATTTTGTCCAGATTTTAGCTATGAATAGCTTGAAGAAAACTTACATGTGTGTATTCTCTAGCCTAAGGCAAAAAGTATCCTTTTTTGTGTGCAATATGTTAGTAAGCACAATCCTTTTTGCATTTTAAAAAAGGAGCCTTATTAATGCTGGGTACCACCATACTTTAAAATGTTACTTAATTATAATTAATTTTTGTGGAATAGGTAAGATTTTTCTATGGTGTAACTTGGATGCAACAGTGTTCCTGTGTAAGATGAATTGGGCAGGGTCAGATGATCAGTTTTGTTATTTTATATCTTTCCCCTTTAATTGTTACAGCTTATGGCTTTGCTGTGATATCTTCTTATGTGATACAATAGTTGGTGTTCTAGCAGGTGTCCCAGGTATGTTTATCAAGATGGAAACTGAAGTTTAGCTCGAAATACCTTTCTTTTTTTTGTTTTTGTTTGTTTGTTTTGTTTTAATATTGCTTTCAACCTGTTATAACCTTAACCTAGGGATGGAAGTTATAAGAGCAAATACATCATGAACCAAGGTAACATCTTTATAAACTCGATCAATTTTGCTGTAGAGTAAGTCACAGCTTATCTCATGATATGCTTATAAGAGTAGATATAACATGACAAAAAATTATAATAACTTGCCTCACAGAACTTCTACAACTGAAGATTAGTATTTAAGTTAATAGTAATATTGTTTTAAAATGTTTTTTATTATTTCAAGGCATAGTAAGACATTATCATAACTCAAGAAGCACCAAAGATACCGAGACTAAATATGAGCTGTTAAATTTAATTTTCTTGTTTTGTATTAGAACTGAGAAATAAATTCAACAAACTTAAAATTGTGCAACAAACTTCATTGCATGTTTCAGAGCCAGAGAAATATTTTATGTTGCGGTTAGATAGACAGGTCTTTTTGCAAGTGATGATAATGATTTATCCATCAGTTTTTCAACATATTCCACAAGAGAATAAATTACTTAACATTACTGTTTATGATATAGGTCTTAGTAACTGGACTAGATCCCAATCCTGCAACTAATACTGAATTGAATGCATTATGTTGCCTGCATAAAATGAATTGCAGAATGTAAGTTCAAGTTAATAATTCTGTATGCACGTGATAAAAATTTGCTTTTGGCACAGTATGCTACAGGTGTACTGCTCTGTGCTTTTCGTTAGTTCCTTTTTGGTATTGCTGACAAATTTTAATTCTCTTGCATCTTTAAAAATGGGATGAGGTAACTTTGAAGAACTTGACTTCATCAGAATAATTTCTCAAGGGAAGAATTTGACCTATATTTTGTTTCTGATTATAGTATAATTTTAGCACTTACAGGACATGACCTTGAAAGTCACATATGACATAGAGCCTTCAGTCTTAATTCGTAAGCACCAAACTCCTAAATAGTGCATCTGTGGGCTTTAGAGGTATTTAAAAGCTTTTCTTATTTCTAAGGTCCTTGCTGAATCATACTTCAATCTCTCAACACTTAATGGGATCAAGGTCTAACTCAGTCCTGGCAAAGTTTCATTTCAAATGAAAGCTGCTTGTAAATTATCAGATACGAGGTGAGGATATTTTGTCTAAGTAAGTGATTATGAACCTTCAAACAGAAATGCTTATAGGTTCTTTAATAGTAGTAGTTCTATCACAATACTATATCAGGATAGGATCATTCAGGTTAGAAGAGACCTCAGGTGGTGTCTAGTCCAACCTGCTGCAGGATTAGCTATAATGTTAGACCATGTTGCTCAGGGCTCTATCCAATCTGGTCTTGAAAACCTCCAGGGATGGAGACTGCATAACCTCCCCGAGCACCCTGTTCCAATGCCTGACTGTCCTCATGGTGAAAAAAGGACATACATTTCTAAACATCACTTCAATCCAAATTGAAGCCAAATCTAGATCTAAGCATGTAAAAACAGCTTTTGTACTTAATATGCCACCTAATCACCTAATTTTTTTTTTTTTTTAATATTCTGGATAGCATAGCATGACCTTGTTTGTCATTTGTTTCAGCCATTTAACATTTTGCACAGAAATACAAATGACTGGGCATTTTAGTGTTGACTTTCATCCCTACTGCCTTGCAGTATGCCGTCGAATTTCCATCCAGTTTTGTGAAGCAATTGACAAAAAACAGCTATGTTATTGTTAACAATGTGGTTTGCTCAGATAATTTTTCTGTAGATTTCAGGAGTAACGTGTTTTCCAATTTACTGTGGTTTATTTCTGGTTTTGTTATATTAGGCTTAGATTATTTTAAGGGTAAGAAAAAAACCAGATAAATAAGACCAGACTGACATTGAAATTATACTCTTCATGACCTTCATTTATGAGTTCTTAACACATTTTAGATTTACAAAAAAACTGTGTTCCCTGAGCTGTGAGAAACAGGGATATA